TATTGGCTATTTCTTCGATTGTTGTTAATATCACTTGATTCTCCTGCTCTAATACGATATTTCGATACCAAATATTCTTGCTTTCTTTAGTATGTGGAATTTATGTCAATTTTATTTAGATTTAATATTAATGGAATGAATCTAGAAAACGGCGATTTTTCCTGTCAAATAAATTTCCACGCTTTCAATGACACCGTTTTTTTTTCTCCCTGAGATGCATGTTTCAAGTTTAATTTATGCTGGTAACTATGAATTCAATTCAAATAGAAATGATTATTAAATCTTATCTATGAATTGACCATATCTGTCAAAACAAACGAGGCCTTTTTCAAATACATAAATTGCTACGCAACCTCAAATGCATGTATCCCCGTTAATACCAATATCATAATTGTAATCGGACCCTATCCCTTACATTTTAACTCGAAAACAATCTCATTCAAACTCACATATACTCCCAGGAGCTTGTCAGAAGTGTCTCAAGTGGAACTCTTTGACTGGTCAATGAATCAAGGAAATTCCGTTAACTTTAACTCGACAATAATACAACACAATTTCAACGGAACCCGTGGCGTAGTGGTTAGAGCGCTCGCCTGCTAATCGGAGGGTCCAGGGATCGAATCCAGCTGGAGCACCTTATTTTTTTTTTTATTTTTTTTTTTTATTTCTTTTTTTGCGTTTTTCTTCGTTTTTTCAACCCAAATGACACGGAAACACTTAAAAAGCTGGAAAGACCTCTTATTGTTCTGTGAACAATAAGTCTCCTAGTTATTATGTTCCCCAAACGAAGTTGGGGAACATATTGTTTTTACTCTGTTTCTTATTATTATTATGTTCCCCAAACGAAGTTGGGGAACATATTGTTTTTACTCTGTTTCTTATTATTATTATTTTTCTTCTTCTTCTTCCTGGGTACTTTTTTGTCCGGGAGTGATCTTGTAAACTACACATCCGACTTAGGTAAAACCTTTTTAGGGTCAGTAGACATGTTATGTAGATTTGCGGAACAAAGGTCATTTTGCGCGCACGTGCTTGCACAAGCGTGCACGTGCAACACGTGAAATGACCGATTTAATTGATATAGGCATAACTTTTTACCTTTTTGATGAAATGCTTTGAAACTCATAATATAAGGATATATTAGTAGCACAGACAATATGACATGGTCAAAATAGCAAGATCTCACGCGCATGCACGTGCGCTTCGCTCTGATTGGCTGAAACTAAAGTCTCAATATCTTTGTTTTTTGACGAAATCCTTTGAAATTTTGAACATAGCCATGGAATAGGATATCCTACAACATGATATATAGCAATTATCATGAAAACACATGCATGCACGTGCGCTACAGTCTGATTGGCTTAAACTTTAAATAGCTATAACTCCCTTGGTTTTCAACCAAACAGGATGGGATTTGGAACATAGATAGATATAATAGACTTCTACAAGAAGGTATGGTCACTATGCATATGCATACACGTGCGTGTACGTGCGCTGCAATCTGATTGGCTAAAACTTTAAACAGCTAAAACTCCCTTGGTTTTCAACCAAACGGGATGGGATTTAGAACACACATAGATGTAATGGACCTCTACAAGAGGGTATGGTCACCATGCTCATATATGCATGTGCGTGCACGTGAAATGAGTAAAATCAAAAATACACTTGAATGAGCGTATTTTTTAATACTTTTGGATTAAATACTTTAATATTGTGTAGACAAGATGATATGGTCATAACGCACATGCATTCACACGCGCACGCGTGCATTGCTCAAATTTGAATGAACTTGATACACTTTTGGGTAAACGTTTTAAAGTCTCAAATGCATAGAGTTTGTCTTATTTAATGAAGCTTACAGGGAATATGGCACCAAATGGGTGTTGGGGAGCGTTTGGGGAACATCTGTAACGGTCCCCGTTACAATTAGCACTAGTTATTATTATTTTTCTTCTTCTTCTTCCTGGAACTTTTTTGTCCGGGAATGATCTTGTAAACTGTTCGTCCGATGTAGGTAAAACCTTTTTAGGGTTAGTAGACATGTTATGTAGATTTGCGGAATCAAGGTCATTTTGCGCGCACGTGCTTGCAAGAGCGTGCACGTGCAACACGTGAAATGACCAATATAATAGATATAGCCACAACTTTTCTTTTTTTATATGAAATGCTTTGAAACTCATAATGTGAGGATGTATTAGTAGTATAGACATGACGACATGGTGAAAATAGCAAGATCTCACGCGCATGCACGTGCACTTCGCTCTGATTGGCTGCAACGAAAGTCTCAATATCTTTCTTGTTTTTTGACGAAATCCTTTGAAATTTTGAACATAGCCATGCATTAGGATATCCTACAACTTGAAATAAAGCAATTATCATGAAAACACGTGCATGCACGTGCGCTGCAATCTGATTGGCTGAAACTTTAAACAGCTATAACTCTCTTGGTTTTCAACCAAACAGGATGGGATTTGGAATATAGATAGATATAATATACTTCTACAAGTAGGTATGGTCACCATGCACATGCATACACGTGCGTGTACATGTGCTGCAATCTGATTGGCTGAAACTTTAAACAGCTATAACTCCCTTAGTTTTCACCCAAACGGGGTGGGATTTAGAACATAGATAGATGTAATGGACTTCTACAAGAAGGTATGGTCACCATGCTCATGTATGCACGTGCGTGCACGTGAAATGAGTAAAATCAAACATACACTTGAATGAGCGTATTTTTTAAATAATTTTGGATTAAATACTTTAACATTCAGTGTATTAAAAATATAGATTGTGTAGACAAGATGATATGGCCATGACGCAAATGCATTCACATGTGCACGCGTGCAAAGCTAAAGTTTAAATGATTTTTGTACACTTCTTTGTAAATGTTGTTAAAATCTCAGATGCATAGAGTTTGTCTTATTTAATGAAGCTTACAGGGAATATGGCACCAAAAGGGAGTTGGGGAGCGTTTGGGGAACATCTGTAACGGTCCCCGTTACAATTAGCACTAGTTATTTTTCTTCTTCCTGGGAAAATCTAGTCCACGAATGATCTTGTAAACTACACATCCGACTAAGGTAAAACCTTTTTAGGGTTAGTAGGGATGTTATGTAGATTTGCCGAACGAAGGTCATTTTGCTCGCACGTGCTTGCAAGAGCGGGCACATGCAACACGTTAAATGGCCAATATAATGTATACTGCCTTAACTTTTCTATTTTTTTATGAAATTCTTTGAAACTCATAATGTAAGGATATATTAGTAGTGTAGACAAGATGACATGGTCAAAATAGCAAGATCTCACGCGCATGCACGTGCGCTTTGCTCTGATTGGCTGAAACTAAAGTCTCAATATCTTTCTTGTTTTTTGACGAAATCCTTTGAAATTTTGAACATAGCCATGCATTAAGATATCCTACAAAATGATATATAGCAATAATCATGAAAACACGTGCACTCACGTGCGCTGCAATCTGATTGGCTGAAACTTCAAACAGCTATAACTCCTTTGGTTTTCAACCAAACAGGATGGGATTTGGAACATAGATATATATAATAGACTTCTACAAGAAGGTATGGTCACCATGCACATGCATACACGTGCGTGTACGTGCTCTGCAATCTGATTGGCTGAAACTTTAAACAGCTATAACTCCCTTGGTTTTCAACCAAACAGGGTGGGATTTAGAACATAGATAGATGTAATGAACTACAAGAAGGTATGGCCACCACGCTCATGTATGCACGTGCGTGCACGTGAAATGGTTAAAATCAAAAATACACTTGAATGAGCATTTTTTAAATATACTTTTGGATTAAATACTTTAATATTAAGCATATTAAAATATATGGATTATGTAGACAATATGATATGGTCATTACATGCGCAAATGTGCAATGATAAAATTTGAATGAACATGGTACACTTCTGGGTAAACGTTGTTAAAGTCTCAAATGCATAGAGTTTGTCTTATTTAATGAAGCTTACAGGGAATATGACTACAAAAGGAAGTTGGGGAGCGTTTGGGGAACATCTGTAACAGTCCCCGTTACAATTAGCACTAGTTTATCTTGCATTTATGGGAAGGCACCATATCAGAAAGCCTATCATTTATTTGATGTATTGATTTTTGTTATTGTTTTGATTTAGTGTTGTTTTTTCTCTTTCTGCAAATTTTCTTTGTTTACAAGTAAACTCTGAGGAAGCTACTAGCATGTATGGTCGATCATACACATCCACATCTAAATTGAGTAAAGAGCTCTTTTCTTTAGTATTTTTCATTTTAAATAAATAAAGACTGTGCATATTGAATATTTTAGGCCATTAATAGTGAGTCTGTGTTAGAACACTCAATAAATCATGCTTTGCAATTTACACATGTACAGAAATACAGGAATTTTAAAAGGTAACATTTTTTTCCCTTGTTTTATGAAAGAAAAAGGACCAAGGAATAAATCTATAACTGTGAAATCATAATTGTTTATTAAAACCAATGTTGGGTTGTGTGGGTCTTCCTAACCCACAAATTTACATCCCCATGATTGTTTATTTTGTAAGCATAATAATTTATTTGTATTTGCCATATCAAGTAGTAACCCATGAAATAAAGTCTCCATGAACAAGTAAAGTTTTGCTAGCCCACAAATTAAAATGATTCCACAGTAAATAGGGAAGTGGAACAAGCAAAACATATCAAACACAAATTATACAAAGAAGCTTATACCATCTGTTATATACATGTATCTGCAACAGACATTTTGGAACAGATATGCAAAGCATACATGCATTTATAAATGAATACATTTAAATGATGATCAGTTATTTCTTTCACAAATAAAGCGAACCATTTAAAAAAGCATAAGATTATATGAAATTCATTTGAAATGTTTATTTCATGTTTTAATGGTAATGAAAAATTTATTTGCATATGGACAAACATACAATGTATATAAAATAATTCTGCAAATGAAATTAATTGTTGATGAGATACTTACTGAGGTAGCATTTCTGTTGGCGTAGTTTACACATGCGTTATGGCTTTGATTTATCCACTGCCAAAATATGGTGCTGGCTATGGTTTGATTTGGTAGTAACAGTCCAACAACCTGTACATCAACCATTTAAAGCAAACTGAGATCAAAATATTCAAAAAATATCACCAAATATTAGAATTTTTATACTCTTAATCTTATAAAAAAAACTTACCATAGGAGATCCAAAAGGCACGAACCCTAAAATACATATAAATACATAAACTGTTGTTTATAAATTTCTTAGAGATGAGAGAGTGGTGTGAATTTTTTACCTTTAGGTTAAGTTGGAAATTAATGTAACATATTCCTGATTCATCATTATTATAGCATTAATTGTTACTAAATACATGTAACTACTCAAGAAATGTTATGAAATAGTATTCCAGATATATTTTTATACATTTCTCTTTTTAGAATGCATTGCATGTTTCTTTAAATTATATACATTTCAAAAATTTGCAGATTTTTGGTTTAATGCATCTTTGATCTTCAAACTCAATTCAAATAATATAAATGATATAAATAGATTTCAAATTTCTAATAGATGTTTCATGCAAAAAAAAAAATTCTTGAAAATAATGATAATATAGTTACCTGACATTCTAAAGGGCATAAATACTTTTTCTCCCGTGTCTGGGTGTATGATTGCCTGCAAGGTGTTAAAAAATATTGACATGAATAGGAATATAATCATATTGTATTGACTTTAAAAAATCAACAAATCATCAAAATCTAAATATTCTCATTTATTATTTGAATTTGTATGTTAATTACTCCTTGGAATGATGATGTGATGACTAGAACTGAACAAAAATACTTTGTGTAAATCGTGTATGAAAGCATTGTCCTACACACAATCCAAAAACATGGTACCCTCCAATATAGATTTATACCACAATATGAACTTCTACCTGTTTAATTTTTTGAGCTTCCCATAACTCTTTATTTGTAACATTTGGTGGCAATCTGTTCTTTGCAAAGTCATCTAAGAGTTTAATACTTCTCTGTAATTCTTCCTATTGAAAAAGAATTTTTAAAACTGTAATTTTTCATCAGTTTGTGCAAAAAAAGAGAACAAGTGTCTTCATGTACATGTATATCTTATAGGGATGTCAACGAACAGTCGACTATCAGTCAAATGGACCTACGATCGAATAATGAAATGACATTCGAATATTAAATAAGTGCAAGAAATAAGTGATAAGTATCTCAAAAGTGAAAAAAACGTCATTCCTCAAACCATTACAGTATATGTTCTCAGACAAATAAGAGCTCAGTTGCCTTCCCAATACATAAATAATTTTCCACATTGTACTTATGGAAAGTACAGTTAGTAATTACATACCCGGTTAGCAATAATTATTTCTCAATTAAAGACCTATTTTTGTTATTGTAGTAAATTATGCAGCTCCAAAATTGGATTTGTACCAATTATAAATTAATTATTACCTCCACAAATGTTCAAATGCTAGGAACACACCATAGCCGTAAATTGTTGAAACTTCGATAATCAAAACAATAATCTTACTTAGTATGCTAGGAATATTAATAGCGGGGGTAATTATTATTTGAACAAACAGTATTTGACAAGTGTGTTTATACCTCCCCATAACCATTTAATAAGCTTTAAAAACAATCGTGCTGGCAATTCTGTAAGCTTACTGGAATGAAACTGACTGTACAGACCAATAAATGTGATGAGAATTTTGGAGAATTGCTGGTGTACATCTATTTCATTTCATGATCTTATCTCTGAGATTCGGTGTCCAATACAGGCATTAAATTTGATGTTATCTTTTACATAAATTTATGAAAAAGGGTCTTGAGTTATAAAGATGCTATCGATGAGATTGTTTTAAAAAAAATGTTTCGAATAGTCCACTATCGTTCGAATAATACAATCGAATGTTCGACTAAGGAAAATGAATATTTTGACATCCAGTGATTTTTCTACAATTTTTAAAAGGGGCCTGGGCCTTTTCAATTGGGAAAAATTGTCGACATTTGTGTCAAATTGGGAAAAACAATAAAATTGTAATTAACCTTCATATTGACGAGTAAAATAAAATATATACCGGTAAGTAAATGTTATACCATTTATTAAATTTATCTGCTACAAAATTTTTCAACAAAATGGACACAGTTTTACATTTCTAATTTTTGTTCTTTGATTGTCCTATATTACAATTTTTGCCATAATGGTAGACATAATTGAGAAAAAATCATTCCCAATTTCTCGTTATTGCTCACATTGGAGATGGAATAATCTTGACATGATTTACAAGCATGTATTGCTGTATTTCTCTGCAATGCTAGTATCTGCAGGATGAAGAAACAGTTTAATTTTTGTGAAATCAAGGAAGCTTTTTGTAGAGCTACTAGTACTTGCAATTTACAAATAAAGCTACGTTTTACTGATTCACATGCATATTAAATTTCATATGATGTATTGACACACAAGTTTGACAACTACATCATCAGATTCAACTTTGGGCAGCTCCCTGCTACACATTCGCGCATGCGCATTGAGACTTTCGCTTTCACTTTGGATTGTGAAAAGAAAACACTTCGCACGCAGGATTGTGTTGAATATTTGTCCAAGTCTTGCAAACACACAAATAAACTGCTGTTTTTTCGTCATCATTTTAAGCGACCCAATGACCAAACACAATAGCGTTCCATTTTAGATAAGTCGTACATAAAAATTCAATATGACCAAAACAATATACGTTTTGATTTTGGGAAAAAAGCAGTTGAAAATTGGGAAAAAATTGGTAATTTTTGAGAGGGGAAAGGGCCGATATTCGGACCTAAATTGAGTTTAGAAAAATCACTGACATCCCTAATATCTTAATAAAAAAAACAAACATGCAAGCATTCTATGTAATGCTAAATTCTAACATGAAAATTAAAAAAAAAGTCAGTAATAGGTAAAAACAAATTAAAAGAATTGTTAAAAGGCAGACTTAATCTGTAGAAAAGTACAGACCTTTGAAGTAAATAGAGTTCTAGGATCTATGACATCAAAAAAGTGTCGAAGTCTGCCATCAAATGTTGACTGAAATATTAAAGATGTCAAATTAGTATAATCTGAATTATATGTTTAATTCATCAAATACTCATTTTCTTCGATCCCCAAAAATTCATGGACAGAAGAGTATGTCCTAAAGAATGTTGTATTTAAATTAAAATCCAGTGCCAATCACCAGGATCCTTCTTTCTAAAAGATTTGATGTTTATAGATATAGTGTAATTTTCTAGCATTTCTGTGATATACATTTGTAAAGATGTTTAATTTCATTCATTATTATTCATTCTACTCACTTTATCCAATATATTTGCTAAGTTTAATGAAGAAATCACTGGGCAATTAGTTTCAAGGAAGACTGTACTGTCAAACAATCATTACCATCTTTTCATACATTACACAGACCTCTTAATGCAAGTATAAAAAAAGGAACGAGTGAAGAATCACCTAGCAAACAAATTAATTGGTAAAAATGGCCAGCTGGAGTATGTTGAAACACCAAGGTAGCTATGAATAGCTACATACATGTACAAATGTAAGTAGAAATACGTACAGTCATGTAATGATCAGATGACGTAGTGTTTGGACTGGGCTTGATAAAGTTTTTGTGGACATACACACGCAGCAAGACGGACAGACCAAAAGCTATGTGCACACGTGCACATGAATGCTTTATTAAGGGGGCATAAAAATGTTATTGTTCTTTAGAAAAGATGTTGTCTCTTCAGTCTTGACTTTAACGGTGAACGTGACTTGTACACGAGCATGGTATTTCATTTAAATAATCGTCATAAAAAATAACCTATATATGTTTAGTTTTTAGCAAACTCAGTTAACTAACCTGGTCATAACGAGGTTTTCCAAGTTTAAAAGGTGGATATGCATCCGACATCTTCCTCAGTTTTCAAGAATATGTAGGTCTGTCATGTGACAACTCTGCTCTCTTTACCAGTTATCACGTTCTCAAGGTTTTGTTTGGACCGTAGAAAACGCAGGAAATAATGTACGCTCTATAACACACTAAATTTCTGTTAAGAAACCGAAATCCCGGAAAGCGTCATCGTCTCATGCCAGGTCAACTCGTGTTTTTTGATGAAAAGAAACACTAACAGAACAATTTTCTTTTGAGATGTTGGAAATGTATATTCAGTAACGAAATTAAATATAGAAAGACCGACAAAATTGGTTTCAAAGTACCTTCAAAAATAAATTAATAGATGCAAAAATACAATATTGACTTCCCTTATTCATATATCTTATCCGAAGAAAGAAAGGTGACCTAGCTGACACAAATAACTGGAGAGGGATTATGTTGTTGTCAGTTACCAGCAAAGTCTTAAGCAGAGTCATCTTAAACAGAATGGCCTCAGTGGTAGACCCATACCTTCGTAAAGAACAAGCTGGATTTAGAAAAGGAAAATCATGCACAGACCAGATATTTTCCTTGAGGCAAATACTGGAACAAAGCAATGAATGGAATGCTACGTTGTATGCCAATTTCATCGACTTTGCCAAAGCATTTGACAGTATACATCGTCCTGCTTTATGGATGATCCTCAGACATTATGGCATCCCTAACAAGATCATATCCATCATTCAGATGCTATACAAGGACTTCCAGGCAAAGGTGATCTGCGGCACTGAACTAAAAGACAGCTTCCCAATCCAAACTGGGGTACGACAGGGATGTCTGCTTTCACCATTGCTGTTTAGTTTCTGCATAGACTGGGTTATGAAAATTACTACCAGTCAGACCAGTAGAGGAATATCCTGGACATTTCAACAGTCACTAGAAGATCTTGACTTTGCAGATGATATCGCATTACTATCACAGCGATACAAAGATATTCAAAGCAAAACTGATGACCTGGTCAAGTATGGCAGACAAATTGGACTTAAGATAAATGTAAACAAAACAAAGCTAATGAAGATAAATACAAAGATAGATAAAGAAGTCACAGCAAACAACAACAGAATAGAAGAAGTAGACAATTTTATATACCTTGGCAGTAAGATCACAGCCAATGGAGATTCCACCATGGATGTAGAGAATAGAATTTCAAAAGCCCGTGCCATCTTTGCAAACCTACGGAACATCTGGAAATCCTCAATTATCAGATCCAAAACCAAAATAAGGATATTCAAAACAAATGTCATTGGAGTCCTTCTCTATGGATCTGAGTCACGGAAGGTGACAAAGAACATCTCGCAAAAACTGGATACCTTCCAAACAAGATGTCTCCGTAGAATACTAAAGATATTCTGGCCAAACAAGATCACCAATGAGGAGCTGTACGAAAGAACACACACAGTTGCTATATCTGACCAGATTAAAGAAAGACGATGGAAATGGATTGGCCATATGATGAGGATGAAACCATCAGAGTTACCAAGGGTAGCCCTAAGATGGACTCCACCAGGAAAGAGAAGCAGAGGGCGACCAAAGGAGACATGGCGACGGTCGGTTGAAAAGGAAATGAATGATCAGGGGTGGACTTGGGGCACTGTACAGACAATGGCAGCAGACAGACAGAGATGGAGGTCCTCGGTGCAGGCCTTATGTGCTCAAAGCACGAAGAGGACTAAGTAAGTAAAGTATTCATATATATTCCAACATCCAACATAAAAACTAGAGGTACTGTGAGCAATGAGCTCACTAAATGATACCCCCCGCCTCCCATATGAATATAATGGCTGTCTCCATGTTTTGCTCTGGAAAATCCAAAATATATGTCAGAAGAAAAAGTAAAATAGGAGGTGCACAATGGCAATATGTAATGAAGATTCTGTGAAAGTTTCATTAAATTTCCTTCAGTGGTATGAGAGGATTTGCGGATAAGAGATGGGTACCCCAAAGCGTAACAGACGGACGGACGTACAGACGGACGGACGGAAATACCGATTACTATATACCCTCCCACTTTTCAAGCGGGGGGTATAAAAATACATATAATCTCCTAGAGATTATGTGTATAAAAATCATGTTTTACTAGATGTATCTGAATATACTCATTAAAATAAAAATTAAAAATAGCTGAAATATTAACACGTTTTAAAAATATCATATCTACTGTATAAAAAGATAATATTTTTAAAAGTGTTAATTTCAGCGATTTTTTATTTTTATTCTAATGAGTATATTCAGATACACCTAGTAAAACATAAAATACATAAAATACACTATCATGTATCAAGACCTTCTTTAAATACACAGTACATATGATATTTTGATTTTTTATTTTTATTTTAATGAGTATATTCAGATCTACACACCTCGTAACATAAAATAAACTAGAGGTACTGTGAGCGATGAGCTCACTAAATGATACCCCCCGCCTCCCATATGGTTATAACTGGTGAAAAAGTCCATGTTTTCCTGTGGCCGGGAAACTCAAAATATGTGTCGGATCAAAAAGTAAAATAGGAGGTGCACAATGGCAATATGTAATAAAGATTCTGTGAAAGTTTCATTAAATTTCATTCAGTGGTATGAGAGGAGTTGCGGATAAGAGATGGGTACCCCAAAGCGTAACAGACGGACGGACAGACGGACGGATGGAATTAACGATTACTATATACCCTCCCGCTTTTCAAGCGGGGGGTATAATAAACTACACCATCCTGTAACCAGGCGCAGGCCTATGCTTATAAGCAGAATTTTTAGCGAGGATTTAATTTTTTACATTATTAGTGAGGGTGCTGAGGTCACTAAAACTGCATATAACGCTGAAGATTAATTGCGTTTTATTATACGCTTGAAAAGCGGGAGGGTATATATATTAATCGGTATGTCGTCTGTCTAGCCGTATGTCAGTCTGTCCGTCCGTCTGTCTGTTACGCTTTGGGGTACCCATCTCTTATCCGCAACTCCTCTTATACCACTGAGTGAAGTTTAATTAAACTTTCACAGAATTTTTATCACATATTGCCATTGTGCACCTCCTATGTTACTTTTTGATCCGACACATATTTTGGGTTTCCCGGCCACAGCAAAACATGGACTTTGCCATTATAACCATATGGGAGGCGGGGGTATCATTTAGTGAGCTCATTACTCACAATAACTCTAGTTTGTAATAGCTTCTTGAGTTAGAATTTTAATCGCTTAAATAACATCTTGCTAAAAAATAACAAGAGATGTTTGTAAAACACTTATGCCTCCCTCCCCCACGCAAATAATTGGAATTTTTCCAAGTCCAGGGGGCATAATTCTGACAAAAATGGTGCGATCGTACCCGAAACAGATCTTGACCTAGATATTTAGCTGATAAATCGGTATACCAAATTTCATTTCAATATGTACAACCTCTGCGAAGAAAATGAACGGAAACTGATGGTTGACCAACAGACAGACCGACAGACAGCAGCAAAGCAATATGCCCTCCCTTCTTCGAAAAGGGGCAGAAAACCAATTTCTGATGACAAATTGTTTACTTTGTGTCTTGCTATAATTTCCACTTATAAATACGCGGTACTCGATTTAACTATACCTTAACGAAATGCTCTGTCTACAATTTCATGATTGCATATAAAACACTAGGCTCACGTATGTGTAATCTGCTTACGCCTCTCACAGTTGTACACATTTGATAACTACTTACAAAGTACCTTGTACCTCTAGAATTTCTGGGGTCCGTATTATACACTGTTTACAGAATTGTTTGTAGATTTCTAGATACCGGTACTGATCACTGTTCGTTATTTTCACTCTTTTTATTCTTGAAATAAGGTGTTTGTAAAAAAATTGTATGTCTCAACTGATTCGATATGTCATTCAGAGCCATCCTCATGGTACGATCAATTTTTAAACGGAGACAACCTACTACTGAGAAATAAGTTAATGTTACAACGATTTCAACGACCCAATTTGAAAACCTTTTTCCCGTCAACTCTAGGGTAGTTGCAGTTTCTTATTTTGTTCGGCATATTGGATATCACATGTGTGCTTTTGCCATATTAAACTCACGATTCAGATTTATGAAATCGATCAATGTTCTAGTTATCCTCATATTTAATAACAAGAATATTCACCGTTTTCCAGTATTAACAAATTGCATGGTTTTTTAGGGCCTATAACATATTTTCAACAAACTTTCGTCACAGGATCATAAATTTACTGACTAGCTACATGAAGACATAAGCTGACGATCGTCAAAATTTTTAATCGAAGTCATGAATGGTCGACGCTTTCAACATATTCAATTAATAATGTTGCCCAAGGTTTGTTAAAATAACTCAGTTCATGGGTTGAAGTGTGTAATACGCAAATATTTCAAATTAATATGTCACAATGTAAACTAGTAAGGAACATTTTTAAACATTTATCGGGATATACATGTAAAAACGAATTGGTCATGTGATCTAATCACACGATCACATCACTGATCCGGAATTACATCTTGATAAAAATCTTTAAATGATGCCTTCTTTCTTTACTATATTACTCTAGAAATGGTGAAAATTCAGCAGAATAAAAAATATCTCAAATTGTATTTTGATAAAACCAAACTTTTATTTTTGGTTAATTTATAATCATAAAAAAACTGTACGAAAAAGTTCACGTCTATGTACATGTAAACCTCTATATTAGTTATATAAGAATAATTAGTAACTGCAAAATTAAATTATTTATTGCAAAATCTCTGTAAAGTTTAAACATATGGAAAAAAAATTGAAAAAAAAAATCAGTGATATAACATAATGCTAAAATAGTAAACAAATTGTATGAGATTAATGTCTATGGTTGTATCATTATTACATGTTATTATGATTTAATGGGATCGAATGAATCCTGCTTAGTTTTCTTGGCTGTCATGGCTGCTCTTTCAGACCACAGCATTTCCTCCTACTTCTCGAAGATACACTGTAAAGGAATAGCATTGTTACAATTGTTTAATTTAAAACCGTGGGTTCAAATATTCGTGGTTTGAAAGGATTTATATTGATTTCAAGGTATTCTTGAGATCACGATGAAAAACCACGTCTATCTACCGTCAATTTTATTGGATAAATTGAGATGCCCGGGGTACACGTATGTCTGAACTGATGTTTCAACGATTTCCAGACCATATAGAATATGCAAAATTTAACTTATGAGAAACTAAACATGTCAATTATTGCAATTTGATGGGATAAATTATCTGATTTTATTTTTCAAATAAATTCACTTGCTATTCAGATACTCAGCGGAGAAAGAAAATGTAAAGCAGTTGGAAATCATTATAATTTATTGCTTGATTGTAATATTATAACTCACAAAGTCATAGGTGGGGATCATTATTTTATGGCTTCCTTAACTTTATTTTATTACTTTTTAATTAACTGTCCTTACCAGGCAAAGCCACACAATAAGCCAGGGCCAGAAGAAGAGACTAATCACCAGGTTCAAACAAATCTTGTCTGCAAATCTGAAATCATAATTTAAAATCACATATATAATTCTTATAGCTGTCTTTTTAAGTGAGTTAATCATTTATTAAAGCGAAGTTTTCTATATTCTGTACATTCAGTTAAACGTCTCATATTAAATATTGATGCTGGTGATTTTTATCTTGCTATGACAAACAATTTTAGGTGATGTCAATCTCCACACGGAATGCGAGAAGAAAATTGATTTCCAGTGGAAAGTTAAAAAGTAAAAAACATAATCATATAACATCACTTCAGTCAATTTAATGCTTACGACAATCAGTGACAAAGATGACTTTAAAAAAGATTTTAATCTCTGAAAAACACTTTCTGTGCGGGACTATTAATTAAGAGATGACGACTAACAATCAAGTTTCTGTTGTCGTCTGCCCACGCGCCTTTGCTTGCTGAAGTGCATAGGTTGTCCAGTTCTCTATTCCGTGGGACGTACATCCCATAAGCATCATAAGTACAACATTGTATTTATCAGTTACATACATATAGTACAATAACATGTTATACACTTACCAACTAGTGACACATACATTTTATTATTTAGATTTATTGATTTAAACATTCCATTCGTAATTTATTAGCATGATATACATGCATATATTTCCTTAATTGATTTACATCTTTGGTATTTGTACTACAGAATAGTTGTATTAGTTTGAAGACACTTGGTCTTCGGGAGTAGTAATGTTTAATAAACTTGTCTCTTAAATCGTGAAAAACTGGACAAATGAATAAAAAATATTTTTCTTAAAAATAAATTACCAATAAGAGAATGTAAACAAAGAGTGGTAATTCGCAAAATTTTGAAACGTAAAAATTAATCGACACCATTTTGGTGAATTACATAAATAAAATCTTCTGTAAAAAATTTCCAGATTTACGGTACTATCTTTTTGATTACTATGAAACAAGTGAGCTAAACCTAGAGTGTACATTTCATTTTTTATACTCCTAATCCAGGGATATTAACTATTGATAGCAACAAGCAAATTCAAGAATTTGATGTCATGGTCGGTGGGATGTCAATATCTAAGGCACACTGTGTCAAATATGAATGCCCTATCATATGTCATTCAAAAGTTATCACAAAAGTTGATTTTTTTTTCCAAATTACCTCAAACATAAAGGTCAAGGTCAAGATATCATACCCTGCTCGGAAATATTGTCACAAGAAATGCACATGTCAAAACAATATAAAAACTCTCTCTTCTCTATCGAAAGTTACATGGAAAAATAACATATTTGAAAATAAGTCAAACGTAAAGGTCAAGGTTACTGGGTCAAAAATCATAGTGTATTTTGAAAGGTTTTGTCACAGGTAATATACATGTGAAAGGTGAAAGCCCTAAATCTTCTTATTAAATCTTTAATCATTAAAACGTTATGACCAAAGTTAAAGTTTTTGAAAAATAGGCCAAACTTCAAGGTCAATTTCACGGGGTAAAAAATTATGATGTATTTAGAAAGGTTTTGTCACAGGTATATACACCTGATTAATATAAACGCCCTTTCTCTTCACATTTAAAAGTTTTCGATACAAGGGCCATGTCAGCAAATACAAATTATTATTAAGTCAAAGGCTGACTGCCATTTTTCATACTTAGGCCATTATTTATATGTGTGCTGAATTGTCCACGGATTTTTCTATTATTTCCCGTTCATGACAAGAATTAAGCACACGGTGGGTGTTACTGATCAGCAGGGGATGCTCACTTCTCCATGGTACCTGATCCCACCTCTAACGTTTTAGAGGTCCGATTTGCTCTGCTCCAAATTTGTATTGTTTCAAGAACATTTGAGCTTAAATTCTCTTCAATATTTCCATATATTTCATTTAATGAGTAAAGAGTCGATCCTTACACCATCGAACCCAACTGCGGGACCTGGAGACCGGTTAATCTGGGGATGAGACCGTATAAACCGAGGTCCCGTGTCGCAATACAATGAAGCGCATTGAAGTGGTAAAATTTTCTGCTTGGATGGAACGTTTTGAGCTATCTTTAGACACACCCATTTTTTTAGAAAGGAAAAATCGGTCAAATGATTCAATCGAATACCTGTATAACAGGTATTTTATAAATATAATAGCCAATGAAATTGACGGTCTACATAAACACCGAGTAAACACGTGTTCGACTCATACATGTGCTATGATAACTCCAATAAACATGATAAAATCATAATTATGTACAAATTCGTTGCAATGCGTGTTTTACATAAGGCGGGTACTCTATACATAGTTCTTTCTTATTTAAAAATCTACATTTCAGTGTACCTCATGTTGCTTGTCGCGGAAAGTGTAGTGTCCTAAAACATTACACAGTGTTACAACGAATATTCCTTTCTCGTTTCTAAAGAAATGGGCGTGTCGTTATATTATAATTGACGTTCAAAACATGACTCAGAACGTTTCGTCCAAACGGAAAATTTTACCACTTCAATGCGCTTCATTGTATGTGCTGGCTAGAAAAAATATTTTTCACGGTCCATTGACCTCAATATGATGGAAAAATTATCGAAAGGGACAGTAAGGAAACAAACAACATATTATTGATTTCCTTTTTTTCCTTCTTTTTCTTTACTTTGTAAATACTTATGGCAGACGTCACGACTGCAAGGGGTTTAGTTTTCAAGAGGTTGTTAACAACATAGTATTAATTTAATCGTTTATATAGCAATGCAAAAACAATATGATAACTGATACTTGATATAATTTTATCACTGACTGCACGAATTATGTCTCTTTCTTCCTATTTACGCTGATTTACGCTGATTTATACTTAGTGTATTGTATGCGATCCAGCGGAAAGTGATTTCCTATTTCGTGACAGTTGCTAATATTTCAAACTTTGTTTTAAACAAAATGAGTTTGGATGGAGTCCCGTTTCTGCAATAAACCTTTTGAATCCGCCAATGTTTACACTACCAAACATTCGGGCACAATCCTCCCCCCCCCCCTCCCCCCAATCTTCCATACATAACTTTTTTCTATTCAAAATGTATACATTAAAAGGCTATTTCCCCTCTTCCCCACACCAGTTTGGACAAGTTTCCTTTTTGTTTGCTTGTCAGTTTTTTTCAGGTAAATTAAGTTTTTTTTTCTATGCCCCCTTATCAAACGCTTTAAATGTGTAAGTAACTCCTAATATACATGTATTTAAGCCTGAAAGTTATAAAGACCTTGCAGTGCAAGAATTTTACTCTGTTTTACATTAGCCCAAGATGGTGGCAACTTTTTAACAGGTCGAGACCACTACCTTATATGGAAGGCAATTTTCAACCCGTGACGATGTCTTCGTCACATTCGTTCTCCAATCAAGTGAATGAGTCTACTATGTGTTTACGATTCAATGGCGACACGTGGTTTTCTTCGGTTTAATGCACAATATTTGGAAAAACTGTAGAGCTTCTTGATCACTAAAATATAAGACCGAAATTGAAAGATTATATTCTAAAGGCATTGCTCCGTGCTCACATTTAATATTGGAGTTGTTTTAGATGATTAATAGTTGCTCCGAATACCGTACAAACTCTTTGACGTTTGCATGTACATAAAACACTTTCTGATAATAAATATCGAGGAGTTAAATAATAATTGCACACCTTCTCCTGTTGTCTAAAACTAAGGACCTATATCACCGTATACAACGGGTAACGCGGGGGAGTCGCTAAAAAGTATGGGGGAGTCGTTTTCAACGTATGGGGGAGTAGATTTTCACCGCTTCGGAGTCAGAGGAGATGTGGGTCACGTCTTTTTTCGGTATATATAAGATGTATTTACAAAAAACAAATATCCCACGGAAGATGGCAATAGTTAAGCTTTATCGTGGTCATTTGTCCGGCTATCATATACGTCTAGTTTTCTCAAACACTTCGAAACTATTTGACAGTTTTCATATTTACGTTGATCGGGTGGTAAAAACATGCATGATTTGCACAATCTACGGCTTGCGTAGGGATTCTCACATTTAAAACAGCGAGAGAAAACGTTTATCTTTTAAATGCAACAACTTAAACTTAACTAGACTTTATAAAAATTGATAATTAAGACATTTTCTCTTCAGACAGTAACGGTTACGTAGGGGGGAGTCGTTAATGGGAAAGCACATCGCAGGGGGAGTCGCAAAATAAAGTCAAATGCATATACTTAAATTGGTGTTGTTTTCATCTCTTTTATACTGCCAATACCTTTTTATTTATTCGTACATATCTATAAATCTATGTTTGGTTATTTACTTTATAATCTGAAGTAAAGAAAAGAGATTTTTTCTGTGGCTTTATCAGTTCCAGAAAACAATCAGCAATTTAGATTACATGAACAATTGGATTATATATCATCGGAGCACATGTGCTTGGGGACAGGATCCTCCCCCTCAGTATGTAATGTTCGTACATGTTTATCACAAAAATTCAAATCACGAATTCAGAACCCTCACTTCCAATATGAAAGCCTCTCCATAAAAAAAAATCAACCAGATTTATAATATGAAAAATTTCTTGATAATATCAACCATTTTTTTAAATTAGAAAATCTCAGATCTCTGACGTGTCTTCACGCCCCTTGACGTTTTCTTTGGAAAGGGGGTTAAATTTAACTGGTATATTGTCACGATTAGGCTCACAATTTATTATTTATTTATCATATGTAGTAACACATCTTCAGACACAAACGAATTAGTATGTTAATTGAGAATATTTTGGATAATCTGAGGTTAATACACATAGGTAAATGTACAGAATGAATGCTGAAGAAGGGACTGGATTGCATATTACCTAAAGCGCTGGAAATGTATGTCTATGATAAATAAAATGAGAAGTGTCAATGTAAAATTAATTAACCAAAAACTTTGAAAAGAAGAAATACGAAAATATTTCTTCAATGTATACATTTCATTATCATGATACCCTCCCTACCTTGCCCCAGCTATATACAGTTCCTCAGAACATATTACCCCCCTTTACCCCTCCCCTTCCGCAGTTTCGT